GTGCCGCTGAAGAGCACGCTGGAGTTCAGCGGGCTTCTTAGAACCAGGCCGCGGACGACGTTGCCGGGGCTGGTGGCTGCCGTCGAAGCCGTTGGCGGCAATCCCGGCGTCCACTTCCGCGCTGGTGTAATAAGGCACCAACGCGTCTGAGATGGCCGTGGAGACTTGTGCCTCGGTCCTGTACTGCGTTACATTCAAGGCATCGATAGCCCCCGCCACCACAGAGTTCACCTCGGCCTGAGTGTATGTTTCAGCCTTTTCGTAGCTGTCGCAGTCGATTTCCAGCGTGTCCGTGTTGTTCTGCAGGCTGGCCAGCAGCGGGCCCGCGAAGCGCAGGTTCCGCAGCACGTTGGTGCCCTTGAGCAGCTCCCAGGTGGGCGGGTTCGCGCTCCAGGCCGGCGCGTTGCTGAGCATCACCGGCACCAGGGCGGCTGTGATGGCTGCGTCCGTTTGTGAGCTCGTGTAATTTCAATGGCGCCCACCGCGGCGGAGATGGCAGAGTTCATTTCAGCGGTGGTGCTGTAGTCTAGCAGGGCGGCCGTGATCAGCGCGTTCACTTCAGCAGTGTTGCTGAAGGCTGCCAAGGCCGCCGCGATGGCCGCATCTCGCTGGGCGGCCGTTTCGTAGGGCGCCAGCGCTGCGGCGATGGCGGCCGCAATCGCAACGTCAGCCTCGGCTGTGCTGTAGCTGTCGCAGGCGATGCTCAGGGCCAGGTCCTCGTTCTGCAGGCTGATGCTCAGCGGAGCCGTGACGTGCAGCCGACGCAGGGTGCTGGGCGTCACCAGCAGCTCGAACGTTCTGAGCACGGCGTCGATGGCGCTCTGCAGGCGGGTTTCCAGAGAATCCAGGTCGGCGGCGCTGGCGAAGGGCCCCGCGACTTGCAGGGCCTGGATGCTGGCCTCTGCGCTGTCCAATCTGAGGTCGCGCAAGCCCAGAGCAGCATCGAGGGCGGTCAGATGGACGTAGGGCAGCCGATGGCGCTGGCCACCTGCGCCGAGGTCTGGTAGCCCGCGGTCTGATGGCCGGTAATGGAGGCTTCTGCAGCGTCCAAGCGACCGTCCCGCACAGCCAGCAGCGCATTGACGCCTGCTGTGTCCTGTAAGCCAGCAACGCAGTGGCAATCGCCGAAGCCACCTGAGCGG